GGGTCAAGTGAATCTGCGGTGACTCCGTAGGCTGTCATCTGAGGATGCGCGATCTGGGCCGTTTATTCAAAACCCCTCAGAGAGATCTGAGCCCTTCGTTGAAAATCCCATCCCCCCAAAATCCCTACCCCTCTCTCATCTCTCCCGCCCAGATCGCGCCATCACCTCCCGCCTCCTCCTCTCCAGCGCCCGAAATCGCCGCCGGAGCTCGCCGCCCCCGATCAGCGTCGCCGCCGGCTCAAGATCGCGCATTCGGTCGCCATCACCGACCTCCTCCCCCTCACCACCGCCCGAAAGCGCCGGCGCCCAAGCTCGGCCTGTGTCTCGACGTCCCCGATCAGCGTCGCCGCCGTCCCCTTGCCCTAGCCATCACCTCCCCTCCTCCTCTCCAGCGCCCGAGATCACCGCAGCTGAGCGTCGCCGCCGGGTCATCGCCGTCTACTCGTCCTCGCCATCGAGCTCACCCCTCGTCATCAGCCACGCCTCCGACGGCATTCGAGCTCAGCCCTCAGGTTCATCGCCGCCTCCGGAGATCGATCAAGCCCTCGACGTCATCCTCGCCATCACCTCCCCCCTCCTCTCCACCTCACGAAATCGCCGCAGCCTGCGCTTGCCGTCCCCGCTCAGTGTTGCCGCCGGCTCATCGCACTTCGCCGCTGTCGAGCTCGCCTCCACCGAGGTAAGGCATCAGGTCTAAATTAACGTGTTAGTTCTAACTGAAATGCATGTTAGCTAGCTCTAAATTAACGTGTTAGTTTTAACTGAAATGCATGTTAATGCTACCGGGATGCATGTTAGCTCTAATGGAGATGATGTTAGTTCTATTACGAGGCATGTTAGTTCTAGTTGGCGTTCCTGTTAGATCTAGTGGATTTCATGATGGTTCTATCTTCCCTCATGCATATTCCTTGGATCTATCTTCTTCCTTTTAATTTCAGCTCATACATTACTTGGTTTGCAGCACTCACTCTATGGCTACGAGCCGGATAATTTAGAGCTATTTTTGCCATGTATTGTTAAATTGGATATAAACTTTAAATTTGGTTTAAACTATCGTTTAGAAATTGTTTAGTGAAATTGAAAGATCAACTTGATGACGTTTTTTGAGCGATTTTGAACTTCTTATATGTGATAATTTGATAGCTTGTATAGACACTCCACCAATTCTCTCACGTGAGGCAACAATGGAAGAAGATAAAAGCCAGGACCATGATCTACTATCTACAACATGGCTTCCCCCTCAGGTGATAATATCTTATTGTTTATAGTGTACTACTAACTAATGACATATACCAAAATAGTTGTCTTTTAGCATGAGTTTTGTTTCTCTATTTTTATAGGCATCCGAGCATGAGGAGAATGGTGATGAGCTTATGGGCGTTGAAAATGGTGAAGATAATTTAAACAGCGTTGATCCATATATCGGAATGGAGTTCTCTACTCATGAGGAAGCTTATAATTTCTACAATGCATACGCCAGACTTAAGGGATTTGGTGTTCGCAAGGGTCACACAGCTTGGTCGAGAAAGAAAGATGCAATCCTATCTAGAATATTTGTATGTGACAAAGAAGGCTTTAAATCTTTAAAAGATAAAAGAGAAGATGGTCGGAATGTAATTCGAAAGTTCGATACAAGATGTGGATGCAACGCAAGGATGGTTATTGGACTTGATAGAAGCACTGAAAAATGGGTGGTCCGAAAGTTAAACAGTAAGCATAATGGTCATCCATTAACCACCCCAACTCGGGTAAAGAAGCACTACTCACATCGGACACTTCATCGAGCTCAATCGACAAAAAGGTTGATAGATACTCTTGACAATCAAGGTTTACGGCCTTCTGCCATTTGTAAGGTTGTAGACGTTGCTCATGGCAATGAACAAGGCTCTCTCACTCAACAAGAATGCCAAGCACAACTTAGACTTAAACGAAGAAACAACGTCGGCCATGAGTGCGTGAACATAGTTCGTCAATTTCAAGAGAAAAAGGTATCTGATCCTCAATTTTACTTCGCACTTGATTTAGAAAATGATGGGACGATGAGAAGTGTTTTTTGGATGGATGGTAGGTCGAGGACTTCTTACTTGCAATTTGGAGATGTTGTTTGCTTTGATGTTACATATAGAACGAACAATTTAAAATTGCCGTTTGCACCATTTACGGGCGTTAACCATCATCGACAGTCTACTCTATTTGGGTGTGCGTTACTGGCCGATGAAACGGAGGAGACGTTTATATGGTTATTTAGCCAATGGTTAAAATGTATGTCGGGTATAGCACCAGTAACAATCATCACTGATCAAGATAAAGCTATGTGTGGTGCTATTCACAAAGTTTTTCCTAAAACTCGCCATCGCTTTTGTTCTTGGCACCTTCGTAGGAATGCCTTACAAAATCTTCAATCAATGCATAATGATTATGGTGAGGATGTTGGTGTAAAGTATAACAAATGGTATTGGAGTAAATCGGAAGAAAAATTTGAAAAGCGTTGGGAAGAAATGAGGGACAAATATGGTGCAGATAAAAGGAGTTGGTTAGTAAATTTATACAATCATCGAGGTCATTGGGCTCCAGTGTATCTTAAAGACACTTTTACTGCAGGAATGTCATCTACTCAGCGGAGTGAGGGAATTAATGCTTTTTTTTTATCATTTTGTGAATGTAAATACCGAGTTACATGATTTTGTTAAGCAGTATGATAATGCTGTCAGAGCTCGCCGAGCCGCTGAACTTGAGCAAGATTTTAAGTCCACAAACTCAGTTCCTACATTGATAATTGAACATCCCATTGAAAAACAAGCTCGGGAGAATTATACGAAGAATCTGTTTACCATCTTTCAGAAAGAACTAAATCATAGTTACTCCATGCTTCATGAAAAGTTGTCGAAGGACGGCGCAAGTGCTACTTATGCCGTTTGGAATATAGATAGCGAGGCTGAAAGCAAGAAGATAGTAAAGCATCATGTTGTTTTCGATACATCCAAAGAAAAAAGAATTAAGTGCTCTTGTGCGAGATTTGAGATGGAAGGTATATTATGCAAACATAGCTTGCACATTTTAGTAAAGAAGCAAGTATTAGAAATTCCATCAAGATATATCATGCAACGATGGACAATTAAAGCAAGACATGTTGGTTGCGGAGTTGTTAGAAATTGCATTACAAATAGTGAAGACCAACTATCTATCATTAAACATTGGGCTGTTAGGAGTAAATGTAACAAGGCACTAGAAGATACATTGACTTCAAGTACACTTCATGATAAGTTTAGTG